CATTCCTGATACTTTCAAAAAAAGCTTAAATTTTTCATGGTATGTCTTATTAAATAAAAAATATATAAAATTTTTATATTATATATTAAAGTAAACAAATGTAATAATATCTGAGAATAAAAGTCAAACTTATGTGATGGTTCCTACATCTATAATATCATTTTGATATTAATTCTGTGCTCTTTCCACGCCATTCATACACGCAAATGAAAAAAATGAAAATACGAATATACCAGTCAGAAAGCTAGGCGGGCAATATCCTCAAACCTTTTCGTGCCATTGGCCGTGACCACGCAATAAATCGAGTCTAATGATTAATTAAATATAATGACTGCAGTGGTCGTGACTGATGAGTCCGCTGAGACAATATCTGTCTTGTGTTGGCGAGTCTCAAACTGAATGTGAATACAGATGCATGACTGCGCTCGCATTATTACGATCAAATGAAATCGTATGCTAGGTGTCGTTTGCAAATTAATTTAAAGCTAATTTAAAACTAAACAAAAAATATCAATGCTAATTAAACCGTTATAAATTTTAATCTGGGCAAAATATTTTATGATAATATAATAATGATAATATTACATTAAATAATAAAATATTTAATGTTTAATTATAATGTTAAATAAAAATCGGAAAAAATTGGAGAAAACATTAGCAAATAATTTGCTTATATTTCCTGTTTAAAATCGCGTGTAACATTGCATTTCTAATCTAAATCTTTATAAATTTCCCAACCGAAATCCACATGATTTTTTAAGGAAATCTGATTATATTTCAATTAGATCCCAAAAATTTTTCTAATTGTACTAAAAATATTGATATAAATCCTTAAAATTATTATAATATGCATGTGAGAAAAATGTATATCTTTCGTGCGCCCAGTGCGAGTTCATAAACTCGCTCACGCGTTATATGCATAGATTTGTCTTCGCTCGATGTCTCGCGCTGTTAGTAAAGCAACAGAAGGTGGATGGAAAACATCATTCAGTCCGTGCCTCCTAAGTACACGAAAGAGCCACGCGAGTCCGCCTTTATGGTAGTTATTAATATCAAATAGTCAGCCACCGAGCCCATTACGGACATAATGGGACTTCATTTTTTGCCGCGACAATGAGGCACCCCGTTAAAGCACTCGATGTATTTACATTATTTATGCAGATGATTAAGCTCTGTTAATATATTCAACGACATAGCGTAGAACGGAATAGTATTAAACAAAGGCTACTATAAATAGCTATAACATGTAGATATCGAAATACGAAAAAAAAAAGAAAAAAAACCTGTTAAATTCAACGAATGCCAAATCCGCAAATAATCCATTCTAACGAAAATAAGTAATAGGCAGTTTGCAGGCACAAGTAATGCAATAGAGAGAAAGAGGAAAAGAGAAATAGCAAAGAAAGTCAACAGATATATAATTCTTCTTTCAAGAATAATAATACACAATGCACACATTTTTTAATCTACTTACGATAAGCTACCCACCATTTATGCACGATATTGTTAAATCCAGTATTTATTAAGAAAGATTTATAGTCAGACCCTCTTTTTCAAAGAAACTTTAAAAAGTAATTTGTAAAACTGTCTCGACCGAACAATACTGTTAAGTATTTCATTGGAATTCACTAATGCGTTTGCAGAATTAGAATTTACAGAATAAGTATGGTCTATGCGATTTCCTGACCTTAAACACTAACGAACTAGCTTTTACCTGCCTACGGCACAAAAAGGAAAGCAAAATTGGAAAATAATTTTGCATGACGAAATCAAAGATCAGATGTGTAAAAAAGAAGAAGAAAAGAAAAAGAATGCGAATAAACATTCATTTGTTTTTGTTAGTTACATTTTATTCGTTTTGTTACGTAAGTTGAAATAAAAAAGAATTATATTTTGCAACGATTTTTCATGTGTTGTCACATTTAATTTATATTCTCTGATTTTCTTTTTAAAGAAACAAACTTATCACCATATTTGAAAAATAACTAATAAATCATGATTTGCGTTACTCTTGCTTTAAGAATACTATATACTGTATAACATTATTTTCTTCAACCTGTATATTGGAAAAAAATATAATGTACGATCAATAATAGAATTGATCTAACAATATTAAACTCAATCTTAAATAAAAAAAAAAAATTTCCTACACATTATATGCCGTGATATGTTAAAATACATTATAATCCTTTACAATTTTAATTGCAAATTCCACAACATTTCAATGTAATTTCAATGTAATTTTAACAATTTTAAAAAACTAAATTTTAAAAACCGAATTTTTGTGCGTGTATTCGACATTAAAAATGCTATAAGAATAATTATTTTTTTCCTTATTTTTTCTTGTTGAACTTTATGTTTTTTACCCTACTGCTGCCATATATATATCTACCATATTATGTTTGTTAATTTTAATAACAGAAGTTCTCGTAACCAGAAAATTATTATAAAATAAAAATCCGAAAATTCTTTAAATCTGATATTCGATGTATTAATTTCGGCATTTTAAAATTAGTTTTGACATGAGATTTGTGTTCAGCGACTAGGGAGGAACCCACGGGTTTGAATAAACAGTTTAAATATACATATTGAGTAGATTGTTTTCAATAACTTAATTTATAATTTTCCCATAATAATTATAGAAATTTTGCAGAAGTTTTTAATACTTAGTTTGGTAAAAAGACTCAAAAACGTAGTAAATAGGTACTGTTCGATTTTGATGTAAAATAGTATGAGATAATGAATTAGTATTTAGACAGCAAGTATATTATGTTTATCCAATTTTGTTTTGTTTTCTCTTAATATACGCGGTGCCGGTCTTCAGACTTTATAATTGTGCTAATTATCGCGTATCTATCACTAGAGCTATTGCACGATAAAAACTAAACTTAACGACTACGAAATAAAAAACGGCTTGGAAACTAGCGCATAAAATGTCTGTGGTTACATTCCAAACGAGATGTTTATGCATCAAGAGACGGGGAAACACTTCTTCGTCGTGTATAAAATCGCGGAACCTTATCATTTGCACCTTCCCCCGATATTGGGCGTGAACCGAGAGCGGAACATGCGCCTTGGTGAACATTTTGCCTACTTGCTTGTGATAGGTTGATCAGCGTCTCTCTATCTGATGATCACCAACGCTGTCGGCGCCAATGGGACGTTGGTACCGGTGGGGAAACGATCAACAGTGGGTACGGACTCGGTTCAGGAAATGGCGATTTGGAAGGGATGTAAGGCGGCGTTAATCACGGTGGGGTAGAGAAGCACCAGGTTGGTCGAGCTTTAGTAAGAGACAAAAAAGAGACCAGAACGCCCAATGAGAGAGAAAGGAAGGGATGCCTCGACCGCGTTACCTCGGCAGGAGTTCTAAGTTTTCAGTCCCGCTGCGAACGCAGCAAGTAGCACACAACGGGTGTTTTACCATCTCTGAACGAGGCGCCGGGACGCCCGGGGAGAAACGTGTGTATAAGCGCACAACGTGCGCACGGTTGCGGAGTGCTCGAGTGTCTCTAAGTATGATCGATCGGAGATACCGTACTTGCTGTCAAAACTCGTCCGAAATGTATTCGCGCGCAATCGCGCGATAACGAGTAGTTCCAAGCGGGAGATCATTGATATCATTGTTGTTATACGTGTAAAATTGTGTGTCAGTCGCGATGGGACGCAATGGTGGATTAATATGAAATTGTTAGACGCTACGTGTTTTCACGAAAGCTTAGAACGACAAAATAAATAGTGAATCTGGAATAAAGTGCAGGCTATATACACGCCTGATAACGAATCGATATTTTAGCATTCACAATTGTATATTATCGTCGACATACTTGACTTATTGCTCTAGGAATAAGGATATATTTTGTCTAACACGTCGTGATATGTTACACGCCGTTACTGTCTTCTCTTGGTGCTAATTTCCGAAGAGAAGAAAAGAGAGAGTTTTTTTTTTTTTATCAACGTTAAAAGTCTAACATGATGAATTACATAGACGGTGTATCGTCCCAGTTGCATCATATTACAAATCTGGGTATCAAGCTGTCACCCGGGGGCGGCGGAGCGACCGGTGGATCAACCGACATCGTCAGTGTTCAACCGCCCCCGGGGGTCGAGGCACCGTCTCACCACTTCCATCACCAGGCTTACCCGCCGCATCATCCACACACGGCCACCCACATGGGCCCCTCGCACATGGGGCATCACATGGGCCCTCATCCGTCTTACGCGGCGCGCGACTTCCTTCTGCGACGGGAACATGAGTTCAACGCGACGGCAAGTCCTACCACGCCCGAGAGTGGGTTGAGTCTTTTCACGTCGCTGCATCACGACGGTACGGCCACGACGATGCAGCAATTTCCACATCATCCCGGCCAGCATCCACTGGCCGCCAGTCACTATCCCGGGACACCCTATTCCCAGGATGCCAGGTTACCATCTCATCACCATCAGTATCTCGCTTCGCCACATTTGCCGCCATCTTCGATTCAGCATCCGCAGCATCCGGGCATGCCTCATCCGGGTCATCCTTTCATGAGGTACATGAGGAGCAGCGACGGACCGGTTGGCGGCCCCGTGATCACCAGCGGTCAACACCAGGAGTATTCGTGTATGTGGCTGGACCCGGATGCCGGTTCGGGAAGAAAGCTCTGTGGCAAACTCTTCAACAGCCTCTCCGACATCGTGGGGCATCTACAGATGGATCACGTGGGCGGTGCCGAAAGTACAACGCACGCGTGCTTCTGGCAAGGTTGTACGCGCGACGGCAAAGCCTTCAAGGCCAAGTACAAGCTCGTCAATCATATAAGGGTGCATACCGGCGAAAAACCCTTCCCGTGTGTACATCCAGGTTGCGGCAAGGTCTTTGCCAGATCGGAGAATCTCAAAATACACAAGAGGACGCACACCGGTGAGCACCGTCATTACTGCGTGATTACTAGTTTTACATCATTTATTCAAGGATTCTCTTTTTCTTTCTCACTAAATCTTTTATCGATCTTATATTGGATGAAAACTATTGCATTATATCATGGTATGATTGGCCTATTAATCTTATATTTAAATTGGTTTTATTATGTGATGCATATATGTACGACGAAGATCTTCGTGTAAAAGAAACGTAAATATAATCTTATTCATTTCAAAATTGCTAGTAAATGAAAGATGTTAAGCGTATATCAAGCAGGAAACATTTTATTAGATATGTACAATAGAATATTTGTGTAAATAATGTAATACGTTTTAAAATTATAAATCTAATACGACTATAATATTATATTATTTCCTAAGAAACTGATGCACGCCGGTATCAATGTCAAATGATAAAATTGAATTTAAAAAAATCGAAAATTAGATTCGTATAAACTTTATTCATGCGAGAAATCAGAAAGACATAACACAAAACGTCGCGCTTTCTCAGATCTGATTTAGACTCGAATATGCCCTTTCCACGAATCGATTCATCTCGACCGACGTTGAGAGAACCGTATTAACTACGTTCTCGAAAGATCTACCGCAAACCGCCAAATCGTATAAATTATATCCCGCGTGTAAACTAGCTCCTTCGTGAGTCATCCTCGAATCTCGCCGGAACTCGGTCGAGCGTGAGAGAATGATTAATTCAAGAACGTCACTTACTCTCCGTCGCGAAGATTACAGAGAGATAGGTAGGCAGGTTGACGGTTTCTGTGTTGTGTATTAACGGTTTCCACTGATGTAGCGAGATCACGCGGGTTATATACTAGAGTCACGTAAATAAGACGGTGACGGTAGAGTTTACTTTGTTTTGTGTCTCTCTAATATTTATTCCCGGGTCATTTTTTTTCGTCCATTTATCTTATCCACGAGACGCCGTCGGCGCCTCGAGCCGCTTCAATATAATCAACCGGCTGTTTACGATGACAAGAATTTTTCGGGGTGCAATTAAGAAATTACCGTGCCGTATATCGTGTCGTTTTATGCCCGACGGATCTGGGCAATGTATTTGCATATTTATTCGTTGGACAGGCATCCCATCATTGGTCGATGCGACGGCTAGACGTTAGCCGTCTTGTCACTGAATCTGCTGTTGTTAAAAGATTTCTTTCTCTTTAAAGTTACTAATTTGTAGTTTTTTTTTTTTATAGAAGTCGCCTGTGTTATTCCCCTTTTTTATATTTATTTTACAATAGATTGCGAGCATTCTAGGATATAATATCATGTTGTTTTCAATGTGCAATAAATGACAAGTGTGTGTTTTATCTAAAATAATAAATCAATATGTAATAATTATTGTTTTTTATCATTATTATTATATATAAAGAGAAGATCTAATTTTTTTTTTTTAAACACATGGAACTTTCATCATTTTAAAATCGACGCAATTAAAATTCATATAATTATAAAAACTAAATACAATAATTGATCTATTCTTATTCTTCATCTCTTATCAACCTTTACGTACAAATATAATATTGTATCTACATATTTTATTCATTAAACGGTCACACAGAGAGATATTTTTCAACGAATAATTTAAAGTGTATATCGAAAAAAAGAATATATATTTTTGTCAGCAAAATATGTAATAACTCTTAGTTGATTATCTGGAAAAATTTATTATTCCCATCACGTAATCTAGAAACACGTGCGGTAACACGCCGAATGTGCATATTATTTCGCGCTCATCCACCCGCTCTTAATGACTTTTAATAATGAAATCGCGTACGGGGTGTACACCGACATCCGCAGGTGCCCGTATTTTCGGTCGCACGATGCGGATTCGTGCACTCCATCGTCGTACTCCACCCCGAGATGGAGGGCAGTATATCACGTGTGATTAAATTTCGTTTTCATTTATAACAAACGCCACCCTTCCGACGCCATTGTGAAGTGTGTGAGCTCTCTCTCTTTCTCTCTCTTCCGTAAACCCCCCTCTTTCCCGACGCTATGCCACCCTAAATCGTACGTTGAGATATATATGTTGTTATAACAACTATTGTGTGTCCCCTACGGAGAGCTTGAGACCGTGTTTCAAAATCGCTTGGATATTTATACATTCGCTATATAAATATTGATTGCTATCGCAATTCGAGATTTAATGTAAGATTTCCTTTCTTTTCGTATTAACGACATTATCAATGTTACTTTCTATTGCGCGATCGATAACCGTTTCATATCGATTTGAGCATCCAAAATTCTCTCAAGCGATTTTCCGTCAAACTCGAATGCAAAATGTTTACTTATAAACGCGATATTGACCCCTCCTAATACGAAGAATATTTAATAAATGTTTAATAAACTCCGTTTAAAAAATCGAAGGCGCCAACACAGGCGTCGTGATGAATAAAAACTCATTTCTGCTCGTGGCGACCCTCGTGCGACCCTCACCGAAATAAATTGGCGTTTTCGAGAAACGATCCTCGATCCACGCACGGCTTCACGCATTGTTTTCGTACGTTACTCGTTGAACAAACGCGTACACGCATCACGCCTCTTTATTACGCTCATTTTTTTCTCCGCTCCTCGCACGCTTTTTTCACTTCGCCGTCCGTCGAAATACAAATACGATTTGGCAGCGCTACTTCGTCCCCTCGCAAGTGGCACGGTAAATATTTTCCTCGATATGTATTCCATTCCACACATTCTGTGCCATTGTTTTCCTCAGACAGAGACAAATTTAAATGATGTATAATTCTACTCGTCGTTATCTCGAGAATCAACGCTGTTTAAAAGAAGTATTAAAATTTTAGAATAAATTATGCAATGATATATGTAAAGAAGATTGTTTTTTAAAAAGCTAAGATCTTTTAATGCTGAGTTTCTTCTATATTTTCACTTCAATTATATGTATATTTTAAATATTGATTATATCAATATCAATTATATTTTTAATAATATTATAAAAATGTGGTCGATAATTGTACATTAATTGTGAATAAACAAAAAATATTTATTACATATATATTTCCGATTACATTAGTAATTTTGAAATGTAATTCAGAATTAATAGTGCTTTTTAATTCTATCTTTAAATTATTAATTACTGTTGAATTATTAAATACTGTTGATTTGCTTTCCGCGATTATTTAATAATAAACTTCAATTTACTCTAAATATATTTCTCTTTTGTATATATAACATATATAGGAATAATTTATTTTCTAATAATAACAGTGCACCACGATTGTATAGATATTATCATAATGTGATAATATCGTGCTTTAGCACCATAAGGATTCCAAGCACAAAATAGCCAAGTACGGGACTCGGTGACGTTGCATTTAACGATGATCGATGAAGCGCAGCATCCATTAGCATAGAAATGATTTCGAATCGCGGTATCGAAACGCTAGTGTACCGTAACTGTTGTGCCGGAATACGGGCGAATTGAGACGAACTAAAATGTTGCCGTACTCTCCGCGGTCTTCGCGACATAAAAAGCAAATTGTGAACAAATGGTCGCAATCTGTTTGTCGCTCGCGCATATCGGTAAACAAAATGTACGCTGCTTCGAATTGTTTTCGTCGCCGAAGAGAAGATCCGTCCTATTAATCCGCAGATGCGACGACCCGGTGAGACGATCCGGTCAGTCATTAGGGATAAATCGATATGCATTTTAAAGCAGCTTACTCCTTCTCGCAACAGCAGGGGGAAGAGCGAAAAAAAAAGGAAGCGCGAAGAATAGTCTGTTACACGCGCAGAACCGATCTTGCGTGTGCGTGGAACGAGCAACGGCGATTGGTCAGATCGACAATGGATCCCCTTGGCTTGTACGCCATTGGTCAGGATTTTCGGAGGGTTAGACGCGGAGAATAGGGGGATGATATTGGGATGAGTCGTCACGAGGGGTGTCGTGGAATAAGCGTTAAGTAGGGGGCGAAATACTGTGTCGGGGGAAGAGCTAGAATGCGCGACGACGACACAGGCGAGTAAATGGCTATTCGCTCAAGCTGCGACGAAACTTAGGTATGAAAAAGTTACGCGAACCGGTTTCGTTGATCCTTTAATTGTCGCCGCCGATGATAAACAGAATACGGAAAATACTTTTTTCAGTATTCTTTTCGTCGATATTTTTTTGAGAAGAATTGTTGGATTATTTCGATTTTTTTTTAGAGATTGCGAATTTAATAGAGGCTTCATGCGTTATTAAAATAATGCAAAATAAATGGAAATCTGTATTAAAATAAGATTTTTCTTTTCCAGGAAAAATCGATAAATATAAATCACAAAAGAAGATCAATTTAATGTCTCAATTGATTAATTATTGGAATAATCGGATAATTTCTATATGGACATACAATGAAATGATGACAGACTGAGAATCAGGCGAATCGAAATGATGAATTATTTGTTGCATTCTTTGCGTATGTTTGTAAAAAGAAGCTGAATTATATTTCTGTTTTGTTCTATATATCTTAGAATAATACATATCACCGGCAATCGCTACCATTTTGCCGGAAGTCACGCTGTCTCCTGAGATGGCTATGGTAGAGTTACCGTTTTCACGACCGATCCGGAGGGCTCGCGATCGTGAGTCGCCGCCAGCCAGCGTAAAGGCAATTACTCTCGGCGGAGGCTGGCATATTTCGTACTCTTGCACCGTCGGGATACGAATAGAGCGTAAAACATCCTGGCAAGAGAGAGAAAATAAGATAGAGAGAGAGAGAGAGAGAGAGATAGAGAGAGAGAAACGGCAACGGAAAAGTACAGAACTGGTGCTTCGCTCTCGTACTCGCTTCGTGTCGAGCGGTAGGAAGGATGCGTCTCGAGACGGAGAGAGGAGAGAAGGAGAAGCGAAAGCAAAAGAGAGAAAGAGAGAGAGAGAGAGAGAGAGAAAGAAAGAAAGAGGTGGAGCCGGGATAGGTAGAAAGGCCATGAGAAATTATGAGAAGAGAAGTACGAGGCCACACGAGGAGCGTTGCCCGAAGC